ATAATAAAACTCCAAACCAAACCAGAATATAACCAAGATCCAAAGCCGCCTTCTGCAGACAAGCAACCCATGAAGTCTCCATTCACCAAGAAACTCATGTAGGCCATTGATAATCAGCAATGCCTCTTACTAAATTCATGAAAGTTTTAACTCAATTTCTGTCTAGATTATTCTTGAGATGAATCCCTGTGCCTGGTGACATACCCAGAGGTCTTTGGGAAGCGTGTGGAAAGAATATAGGATTTAGAGTCACGGCTGGAGTCAAGTCCTTGTCATTTGCTGGCTGGGTATTTGAAAAGTCAATGTCTCTGAGATTCACTACAAAAAAAAAAAACACCTAGGGGCCGGCCTGGTGGTGTAGTGGTTAAGTTCACAAGCTCTGCTTTGGCAGCCCAGGGTACGTGGTTTCAGATCCCGGGTGTGGACCTACACACTGCTTGACAAGCCATGCTGTGGAAGTGTCCCACATATAAAGTAGAGGCAGATGGGCATGGATGTTAGCCCAGGGCCAATCTTCCTCAGCAAAGAGGAGGATTGGCAACAAATATTAGTTCAGAACTAATCTTCCTCACACACACACACACACACACACACACACACACACACACACACAAAATCAATAAAATGAGGATAATAGTGGTCCCCACATGATGGAGATGCTGGGGACATTTAGTGAGATAGTATTCATGGAGCTGCTCTTTTCAGCTGTCAAGCACCACAGATGGGGTGTTTTGGGGACACTCCATTTCCCGTGCCTTACTAACCAGCTGCCTGTGTTAAGCCTGGCTCGGAGGCTGCAGGGGCCCAATGTCTGAGGCACTGGGGAGCATGTTTTTCCGGATGGGATCCGGAGGCTGTAGCAGGCACATTCCTGGTGGCTGTCGCCAGAGGTCAGATAGGAGGAAGGAATTTGGGCGAGCAGGTTGGGGTGGGGATTACAGAGCGAGACACTGAGGTGTGGCAGGCAGGGCGGAGACTGAGGGTCACAGAATGTTGGGGTTGGGAGTCATTTTGCCTAATCCCTCATTTTAAAGGTGGGGAAACTGAGGCCCAGACTCCCAGGAATGCATTCAGTGTCCCGGAGGGAAAGGAAAGAAGGATATTGAGGAACGACCGACGGGTCTGTGAGGGGGTTTGGTTAATTTTGTTCCACCGTAGTGCTGATCACCTGGGAAAGGGTGCACTGTAAGAGAAATGGCTCTGTTTATGGGAAGGACATCCTCGCTGGCCTGGGTACCACGTTGCTGTCCTCGGATCAGCCTCCATGCTGCAACAGAGCAGCCTCTTAAAGAAGCAATCTCTGATTGTCACTCTCAGTTTATAAACCTTTAGGGGCTCACCCAAACCCAGGTGCATTTCCTGCAGAATAAAGCCTCTCTTGACTTGGCCCCCCATCCCCATGACTCCTCTCAGCGCCGGGGCAGACTCTGTGCCTCCAGAGGCATGCAGTGCTGGGCGGTGGAGCTGATGGCCTGGGTATGAGTCCTTGCTCCGCCTGTTACTGGTCTAGTGACTTTGGCCAAGTTATTTACCGACAAAATGGGGATAATGATTCTTCCTTCCCTGTAGGGGCACTGTGAGGGCTAAATTCTAAGTGGGAGCTGTTGTTTTTTATTTCTCTTTGTCTCTGGGCTTTCACACATTCTGCCCTTTCTGTCTGGTTTGTCCTTGCTCCCACCTGCCCTCTCACCTCTCACTAGTTACTTTAATTCAGGGCTGCAAATTCAGATACCCACAGCAGCCAGGCCAATAACATAAATCTGTGAGGTGGGCTGAAGTGAGACAGTAGGGAGTGGTGGGGCCTGTGGTGACGTGGGAGCGAGCATCCGTCTGGAGGAGCAGCCACTAACTAGCTACAGCTCACTGTTGCCATGTAGGAATGTTGCCACATTTTGTGTGTTTTTAAGAGAAATAATCTAAATTTTATGTGACATATACCGATTTTTGAATGTTGAGAAGGAATGAAAAAAAATTATTTTTTGAAAATACCATAAACACCAAAACAGCTTCCATTTTTCCTTCACTTCTGAGCTTCTCCAGGAAAGCCTTCCTGGCTCCTCAAGACCAGGTCAGCTCCCGTTGTCACGTGTTCTTTAGCACCCTGTACTTAATAGCCTTTCACAACACAATTATAAATAGGTAATTAATTATCTAATCAGGTTTTCTTGTCGTGCTCGGCTTCTAGAATATGTGGGCCTGAGCTTAAGGCCTTTGTTTTCCTGGCTCTTCCCCTGTTCCCAGGGCAATGCCTGTACAGAGAAGCTGTTAGCTAAATATTTGCCAAATCAGTGAATGAACAGCCTCAGACTATCTTGATCTCTAAGCACTTGGGCTGGATTCTTGTCCAGCTGATGCAGAGACCTAAGTCACCTTGTCACTGGGACATCATTCTGTGTTCACAGAGAGGCGATTTGTATGAGCCTAATGTAGGCAACCCAGTTTTTTTTCTGATAGAGATGAAAATTGCTAAAAGAGAATGTCAAGTCACAGTTTCCACTAAGGTGACTACAAAACTCTCTTTCACCCAGGCTCATGTGGAACTTGATTTCCCCGTGTGTGAAATGACAAGGTTAGACCGGATGCGCTCTAACGGCTCTTCCAGAAAAGGGAGTGAACTCTTCCCACATGAGGGCCCAAGATGAGTCACCGTGTGAGGCTGCGACCCGGGCAGCACCTTCTAGGAGCAGCACCCTGCTCCCTTGCTGCACTAAACTAGGATCTATTCATCACAAGGGCAATCAGTGCAGTCTGTGGGCAGTGGGGCAGCGACAACAAGAACCACACAGCAATGACAATGCAACAACAATAACAGGAAACACCCCCAAACCAGTGCCTAAAAGGTAAAGCAGAGCATATATAAGAGCTGCCTGCAGCTGGGCCCAGGAGACACAGGCCAGGGAAACCTGCATGAATTTTTGTTTTATTTTGCTGAGGAAGATTCCCCTCGAGCTAACATCTGTTGCCAATCTTCCTCTTTTTTGCATGTGGGTTGCTGCCACGGCGTGGCCACCAACAAGTGGTGTAGGTCCGTGCCTGGGATCTGAACCCGGGCTGCTGAAGCGGAGCTTGCCAAACTTAACCACTAGGCCACAGGGCCCACCCATGAAAACTGCATGTTTTAATGCCCAAGACATTTGAGGAGTTAGTTCTTCTTCCCCGCTCCAGATAGCAATGCCTAGACAACACACAAAATCCCAGCAGAGAATAGTTGTATTAAGTATTGCTCCTCCCTTTCAAAATGTGAATGTCTTGGGACAGTGGCAGAAACGTAAAGGTGGTGTTTGGCCTGCACAGTGTGCTCAGAGCCTCCCCAGTTTCAGCCTGGGGGTGGGACTTGGCACTACTGTTTCCTCCTAGAAGATGAGCTTCTGGTGGCCAGCCAGGGAAACACCTTCCTGAGGTGTCTGGTCCCCATGCCGAGAACCCATGGACTGGGAGGTTTAGCAGACAGGATTTATGTGTTGTGGAAGGAGAGTGTTGAGCAGCCTCGCCTGGGAGTATCTGAGCTCATCCTGCACTTACTAAATGCTCAATCATGTTAGCTAGTATTTTTTTAATGAATGATTAAGTTTATTTGTTCCTGCATTTCCTTGGAGATACTTTTGTTTTCTATGCTTTGAGTGAGATGCTCATAATCATATTTAGAGGTAATAGACTGAAAATAACTCTTCATGTTAACGTAGTGGCTTTCAAACATTTTTGAGTTTGAACTGAACTGCCATAAGAAATTTTGCATTGCTATTCAGTACACACACACACACACACACACACACACACACAGCTGAAATCAGAGTACAATAAAACAGCGTGTACACTTACTACATGGCATGCACTGGTAGAATAGAATGGAAAAGAACAGAAATATTCCTTTGAAAAAACATGGGTGCAACTCAATAAATTGATTTCTCCACCTCTCTAAAGGGTTCTAACTGGAAACGTTAAAACTCACCATTAGAATACTTTTGTACCTGGTTTTCAGATGGGGAAAGTAAGGCATAATTGGAGTAAATTAGGCTTATCTGTGCAATAAAAGGATGGCCTGGAGAAAAGTACAATTGGATCTTTCAGAGAATTTCAGAGCTTTAACGCTGTGAGAGTTACCTGCCACAACCCACTCATTTTACAGATGAGGAAACTGAGGCCCAGAATTGTGACTGGCTCAAAGCCACTTGGTGAGTGACAGAGCTGGGATGAAATGTGTTCCCCAACTCCCCCTGCAGGGTCCCACCTTCTCTTACATCAGGGACACAGCTGCTTTGACCCAGAGGAGCTGGCATCTTCTGGGCTGACAGAAAGCTCCCCTCACATGCTCTGGGGAAATTTCCCACCCTGGAGAACATGAAGGGATTTCTCAAGGAAGGTCAAAGACGGCCTGTGGATCCCTGACTGCCTGCCTACGAAGTGAGTCAAAGGCCCCGGCTGAGCTGGCCTCGTGGGAGGGGCGGGCGGCGCCTGCTTGCAGCAGGGCACCAAGAAGGCCCCACCCAGTGACCTGGGGTGGGATGGGGCTGGTGGCTTGCACCTCTCTCGCCTGGATAGGAAGCTGGCCTTTCAAAGTGAGCGGCCAGCTTGCAGGTGGAGTATGTGATCCTCTTCCACAAATGATACTTTCTAGATGCCCAAGACGAAGATGGGCCTGGGAGATGCTGGGAGCTGCCTGGGACTGGCCCCACATCCCTGCCAAGCTCAGAGGGCCTGGAAGCCTAAGGGGTGGACAGGGACCGAGACATAAGTCCATCTCTCCTGCAGCTGGGCTGCCTCTGGGGACCCAGGGAAACCAGCCTGCGTCTGCAGGCTCATTCCTAGCCGGTCAGGGGCCGGTGTGCAGATCCCCAGGCTCAGGAGGCTTGCCCACCTCCTCCTGCCCACAGCAGGCCACTCAAGCTTGGGGATGCTTTCCTACTGCTGGACCCTCAGGACACATGAGGCAGCTGTCCTCAGAGCTCAGTTAGCTCCAGTTCATAACCCCAGGAGAGAGTGTTCCAGCACATCCCAAAGCTCACCTGAGGACACTTGGGAGAAGAGGAGGCAGAAAGTCAGCAGCAGCAAGTAGGGAGCCCTCATGGTGGCTGGCAGGCTGGTCTGGGATGGCAGGAGAAGGAGGAGAGGCTCCTTGGAGGCTGAGCTGACAGAGGCTTCCGGAGGCTGAAGTGTCACCGTCTTTATAGAGCTAGAAGATTGCACAATCGCATAGATGGATCTGAAGGGTGGTGTCGCAATCCATGGAGTGAAATTTTAATAAATAACCCCTCGTGTCATTTGCCCTGGGTAGTCTGCGAGTCATGTGCACACACTTCTCTCTGTCTGGCTGTAGCTGGATTTAGCTCTGGGCCTGGAAAACTGGAGTTGGAGCCTCCTGCCCGCTCAGTTTTGTTTTCTAGGCTGGGCCGTTCTGATGGTGTTCCAGGAGAAGGTGGCTCAGGTGGACCCCTTCTGCTGGGATGGCTCAGACACTCCCTGGGGAAGTGGCCTCAGGAAGCTCTGAGCCAGGTGGCTGTCCAGCCCCCAGCAGAGTCAGTCTCTTTAGCTGAACTGTGTTCTCTGTAAGGCGGCCCCAAACTTCACCCTCTTCTCTTATAAAAGCCAAGCTGGTTGTATTTCATTTAACCTAAAGGGATGGAGTTTTCATCAGGCCAAGGCTGCTTTCTCAATTCTCTGCTTCTGAGCTGAATTTTCTCCTTGATTGACCAACAGCACACTTCTTGTTTTTTTTTTTTGTTTTTTTTTTTTTTAATTAATATGTCTCCAAGTATTCTTAAACCCATGGGCCTCTTCTATCACTTAAAAATGTTTTTTTATCAAGACTGTTTTTTTAGAGCAGATTTAGATGCACAGCAAAATTTAGGGAAAGGTACAGAGATTGCCCATATACCCCCTGCTCCTACACATGCACAGCCTCTCCCACTATCAACATCCCCACCAGATGGTCCATTTGTTACAACTGATGAACCTCCACTGACACATCCTCATCACCCAGAGTCCACAGTTTACATTAGGGCTCCCTCTTGGCATTGTACATTCTATGGGTTTGGACAAATGTGTAATGACATGTCTCCACCATTATGGTACCATGTAGAGTATTTTCATCACCAAGTGAAGTAAAAATTTGCTATGCCCCACCTATTCATTCCTTCCTCCTCCACCCCTGGCAATCACTCATCTTTTTACTCTTTTCATACTTTTGCCTTTTCCAGAATGTCATACAGTTCAAATCATATAGTACATAATCTTTTCAAATTGGCTTCTTTCACTTAGTAATATGTATTGAAGTTTCTTCCATGTCTTTTCATGACTTCATAGCTCATTTCTTTTAACCCTGAATAATATTCCATTGTCTGGATGGACCATAGTTTATTTATCCATTTACCTACTGAAGGACATCTTGGTTGCTTCCAAGCTTCAGCAATTATGAATAAAGCTGCTATGAACATTTCTGTTAGGCTTTTGTGTGGACACAAGTTTTCAACTCGTTTTGGTAAATACTAGGGAATGTGATTGCTGAAACGTATGGTAAGAGTATGTTTATCTCAGGGAAGACAAGGGAGGAGGCTGGTGGAGTCATTAGGGTCTTAACTCAGGCACTGAGTGGAGGAGAAAGGAGACACGGATTCCAGGGATATTAAGAAGCTCAGGTCAAGCAGAAACAGGAGTAGACAGAAGGAACCAGATTTCAGGCTTGGAGTAGATAAAACAGGATGTGAGGGACCGAGACAGGGTGAATAGGAGGAAGTGAGTAGGGAAATGACGATGACTTGCATATATGATTGAGTATAAGGAGTGTCTCGATGTGGGTTTCCCTAGAAGCAGAGTATGAGCCAATAATTTGAGGGAACGTGGTAACTGGGGGGCATAGAGAATAGACAGTGAGTGAGGGGAGAACTGATGTGGGGGAGGAGGACGGCCAATAAAAGGGCTGATATGAGGGCCAAAGGTGACTACCGGAGCTGAATTCCATGGGGAATCTTGGGAACAGTGCACGACAGGCCCCAGAATGATCCAGGCCAAGGGATGACGGCCCCAACAGTCAGAAAGATCAGAGGTGGCTTTGTCTTGTGGCAGAGAGGCAGGCGTCAGCTTTTGTCAGGCATGTGATTTGCAGGGAAATGGTACAGGGGCCTGGGGCGACATGAACACCAGCTGCTCCAAGATGCCTATGGGATCTGCACGAGGAGATGTCCCGCTGGAGGGCTGAGATGGGCTTGGATCTCAGTGGACAGATCTGGAATGGACACATATCAGCCTCCATGGATTGCTGGAAGCCATGGTAGTGAATGAAATCCCTAGGGAAAGAAAGTTTTTAAAAAAATTCCAGAGAACACCGGCATTGCAGGGAGGAGGGAAGAAAACCATGAGAGAGGGGTTGAGGTCAGGGGAGGGAAAATTTTTAGAGGAGGAGGGAGCAATCACGGTCAGATGCAGACAACTTCATCTGCAAAGAAAGCATTCCAAAGTGTCACTGGTCTTTATGTCTAGTGACATTGGGAGAGCAGGGCCGGGACTTCTGTGGGTTGAAGTGGAAACAGTTGACGGGGACATGATGATAGTGGGTGTGGGGCACTGGGTCCCATTGTCGGCGATGTGAGTTAGGCCAGAGAATGAGGAATAGCTTGTACACATAGGGTGAAGGGAAGGGTCTGACTTTGTGTTAAGAAGGGGCAGGATTGAGAGTGATGAAGGGAAGGAGCCAGGAACTGGTGAGGGTGAAGCTCCTGCATAGAGAGGTCAGGAGTGGAAATAGGTCCCTGAGACGGAAGAGCTGATGGTGACCAGGGCTTAGATGGAGGGACTGTCTCTGCAGAGGAGGAGGGACATCTCTGATGCCAGGAGGGGAGAAGACGTGGCTGAGGGGCACACATTTGAATTGTCCTCTCTTGATTTACCAGATGTCCCCGTCAGGGATGAGGAGAGGCCCTTTGCTAACTGTGACAGAGACAGAGTGTCTAATCTGTGTTTGTTATCCTTCAGCCTCCCATAGAATCCATTTTCCTTTTCCACTCTGGCTCTGAGTTTCTCCTTCGTTTCTGACCCCTGAGGATTCAGTTTCCCTTTTTGCACTCTGGGCCCTGTATGAACATCCACTTTAGGTCTCTTCTCTGTGGTGATGGTGATGTTGGAGGTAGGGGCTCCATCGTTGCATCAGCACATCTGCCGATGGCCAGAAGCCCCCGCATTAGGGTCCCAAGTGGATGTGATGAGAAGGCCTGCCATCAAGAGCCTTTGGGCAGGGGAGAGGGCATTGGAGATGGGAGAGAAGTCCACAGAGAGCCTGGTCACAGCAAGAGCTGCTAAGAAGCATTAAGATAACTGAGTTTTCCATCATTGAAGGGAAAGAAGGTCACAGAGGGGCCACAAATCCGGGCCCCTTGCCATATATTTGGGGATGTGCTAGAGTGTGTGTAGGTTGGATGGGGGTGTGAGGAAGCCTGGACTGGGAGAGAAGCAAAGGCGTCCATGTGACATATATGTCTATGTTTGCTGCTGAAACTCTCATTTCCTGTTTTCCTTTTCACATCGCCATCAGGAAAGTCTTCCTCCTCCACATCCTTGCCAGCTTTGGGTGTTGTCAGTGTTCTGTACATTGCCTTTTCTAATAGGTGTGTAGTGGCATCTCATTGTTGTTTGAGCTGGCATTTCCCTGATGACATATGATGTGGAGCATCTTTTCACATCTAGCCTTCCTTTTCATAACTAGACGTGTTCCTGGGCAGTTTTCAACTGTGGCTTCACAGAGGGGGAGCTCCCGGTGTGTCCACTCGGAGTCAGGAGGCCTGGGTTCCAGGTGGAGTTGAGTCTTGCTGAGCTGCAAGGATTGGAATCTTATTCTTCCAACTGTTCAACTGGGGTGTTGTGTTAGCTCATATTTAGGATCTCTCAAGTTTTCATCGATTTTAAAGATGTTAACCAATATTTTTTTTATTATTAATTTTCACTGTAATTCTATAAGCAGCTTTCTGAATATCTCCACCAGGGTTCTTATTTGTAACCAACAGAAGCAGCTCTGGCTGATTAAACAAGAGAGGAGCTTCTTCAGGTGATATTTGGCAGCTCAGAGAATCACTGGGGGCCTGGAGAACCCACTTGCCCCCCAGCTTCCAGGAACAATGGCCAACCTGTGTCCCAGAACGGGTCTGATGTGTAGCTCTGTGCTGGGGTGACTGTGCGTGAGACACTGGGGAATGGACTTCACTGCTGCCACTACCACCACAAGCAGAGAGCCATCTGCACCAGAACATGCCCCTTCCTGATATGTCCACTGCACCTCTGCCACAGAGAGAGTCAGAGAGAGACACATACACAGACTGTGAGAGACAGAGACAGAAAGAGAGACAAACGGAGACAGAGAGAGACAGTGACAGAGAGAGAGAGCCAGATGGAGGGACAGACAGAGACTGAGAGGGACAGAGGCAGAAAGCAAGACAAACAGACAGAGATACACTCAGAGACTGAGAGAGACAGAGAGGGAAACAGGGTTAAGACATTGGGTGGATCAAAACAATTGCAAGAGTTGATGACATTCAAACTCATCCATTCTTTCCTTCACTGACTCAGGAGTATCTATTTGGTTCCCTGTGTGCCAGGTGATCTTTAGGGGCTTGCGATGCAGTGAGGAATAAGGTTTATGGTGTCTTCCCTCAAAGGTCTAGCTGGGGAGACAAATTTGCAGGCAGAAGGTTACCATGACATTTGATAGGTGCCCTGATGGGGGCACGCGTGGACCAGGCCTGACATGTGTCTGATGTGGCATGGGCCAACGCCAATATTTGATGTGTGTGGGTGTATTTATTGGTAGTTTGTGCCCATCAATTCAACTCTGATTCCTGTGACTCTGTGGACTCTCTGTGGTGGGGTTTTAGGCCAGCCCTGGTAGCTCAGTGGTTGAGATCTGGTGCTCTCACTGCTAAGGCTCTGGTCCCTTTCCCAGTCAGACAGCCACACCATCTGTCTGTCAGTTGTCATACTGTGGTGGCTGAGTGTTTCTGTGATGCTAAAAGCTAAGTCACCAGTATTTCAAATACCACTAGGGTCCCGGATGGTGGATAGGTTTCAGCAGAGCTTCCAGACTAAGACAGACTAGGAAGGAGGACCTGGCCACCCACTTCTGAAAAAACTGGCCAAGAAAACCCTGTGAATAACATTGGAGCATTATCTGATACAGCAC